TACAAATAAACCATTGTTCATATTTTAACCAATTCCATCTGGTTTCTTAATGTTACTTCCTTTTTCCCTGGCTGAGCCGGGTCGTAACAGGGGGGTTGCTCCATTTGGGTCGGTAGTGAGTCTCTCCCTCAAGCAGCGGAGTTGAGTTTTCGAGTCTTTTTCATGAGTGATGGTATAAAGGAGCAAGAGATGAATAGAGAAATTAGAGCATCATTTGCAGTAATGAGTTTCTTGCCTTGATCTGTCATACTGTACAATGAGCTAATATGAAAGAAAAAAACTGGTCAAGACCCTCACATATGGTCAGGAGAATCGAGAGATGATTGAAAGAATGTGATTTTAGCTAAAACTGACTTCCTTTGTATTGTGGCTCAGCCTGTGAGCTCGGGTAAAGAGATTTGTTGTCCAGGGGGGAGACCAGAGTAGAGTTGCTCTGCTGGACCCAAAAAAAGTCAGGTGATCTTGTTAATCTGGTTAGGATGCCTGTTGCTCAACCCCTGTCTGATGTTTTTGGGACACATCCCACTGAGAGGAAACCTCAGGACAGAAACATGGCACTGTTTCCTGGAGCCTCTGGTGCTTTGAACAGTTCAAGTCTTTCTCTAAGAGGTCCATGGTGAGGAACTAGAAGCTGCAGCAGGTTCCACAGGACAGCATCAATTTGCCTTGATGATGGTGTAAACGTCCAGTTTATACAATTAAAAAAAATGAATATAATTTATTTTAAGTAACATGGTTTGGAGAAAGAAAAGGAAAATAAAATTTCCATCTGTTTTTTTTAATATCTTTTTAAAACAAAAAACAAATGACCAAGAAGTACACAAACCCAAGTGTTTGGATTTTAAATGTCAAATCAAGTCAGTGACTGTAGCTTTTTTGCTACTGCTACAAGAAATATTCATGTGACAAAACAATTCAGTTGCTGCTGAACTGTTTTCATTCACTATTGAAAATAGTTCTAAACTACAGACATGTTGGAACAACAGATCAGAGCAGCTGTAATATTTGGGCTCTCTTATGGCAGCCATGTTGAAATTCATTAACAGTATTGTATCATTGACAGAGTGCCAGAGGCTCCATATTGAGTGGGGGGCATGTGGGGTGCAATGGGGCCTTGTCCCCCAGTTTTATCTCTTTGAGTTCCTACCATTTTTAATTTCCCCTGCTTATTTAGACTGTTATGGACTAATTATTTCTGTGTCACCTTGACACTGTCTACTGTCCATATCTTGTGATGTCTTATGCCTGTTTTTAATCTATGGTGCCAGACGTCAGGGACTCCAGCATCACGATGACCTCTCTCCACGTAACGATATGGTTGCCTTGAGCTTAGAGCTTGTCATTGGTTGTTAGTAACATGAGGCAGGTTGTGATTAGTTGTTCATTGTCACATGGTGTTAGCTGAGGGTATAACATTGTTTTGCCATCTCATGACGGGTGGCCACATTCAACAGACTTCCTGATTGTTTTCTGTTCTTTGTCTGCCCTKAAATAAATAATTTTACGACCATACCCGCAAGATTTTTTTCTTTTGGCATTATTTCAACGTGTTTCTGTCCCAAATTGCCGCGACAAGGCTTAGTAACCCATCATGAACATAAAAAAGCATTGTTTTAAACTAATTAGAAATTGCAGATATAAATATGTATTTTGTTAAAAATTAAAAATGAAATTTTAAAATCTAGTTCCCCTAAATAAGGACAACTGATATTTAACCAAATGTCCTTATCATCAAGATGCATGTATCAGGAGGTTATGTGTATATGATTTTTACATATATATACAATGGAAATCTTCCTAAAATAAGGAAATTATTGTAAAAATATTTTTCTAGGAAACGTAGACCTAACCATAAATGTAAGGTAATTATTTTAGGAAGGTGTTGAAATGCAAATGTTTTAGAGGACAATCTTCAATAAGATGAGTATAATTAACTGTAAATAAAAACAACTAAAGTACACCTGTGTATATTAGGAGGCGATTCTCTAAGTCCCATTTTTCTGTATTTGTCAAACATCCTAAATATAACAATGTAACAATTCTCGTACAATTATGTTCTGACTTTTGATGTTGGTGCCAACCCTGGATTTTCTGTGCCCCTCCAACTTTAAAATAGCATGGATCTGTATGAGAAGTCCTTGACATAAACCACTTCAGGATTAACACACTGCACCTTATACACCCATCAATCTCTTTCTGTAGAACAAAAGTGTGCAAAGCTGTTGCCAGGAAAAGATTTGGCTGCATTAAATAAATATTTTGTTTTAATTTTTTGGAAATTAATAAGTGTCCAAACTAAGTATTGTTGTACAACTTGTGTGGAGGTTTTGTTCTTATCTTGATTAGTTTGAAACACATAATTCCATTAGTTTTTTAGCCAGTTTTTTTTCTAACTGGCACACACACAACCACTTAACAGAGAAACATGTGTGCTGTTCATGAGTTGTGTCAGCATGTCTTCTTACAAACTATGAGGTGAAATGATGTGCAGTAACTGTTTAGAGACCATATCTGTGGGTTGCAGCAGCACCTTTTACAATCAGAAGTGGGATAAACCACCAAAGAACCTGTCTAGGTATGAAAAAATTTTGTCACAGTCTCTAAAAGTGCAAAATTGTGTTGCAAATAATAGAGTTGATCAATCTAGGCACTTACGGATCACAGCAAGGCGCACACACACAGATAATAACTGTGTGTGGCTGGCCTCTCTGCATACATGGCCTCCTTATTGCCAGCTTTGTGACTCTTATGAGACAAACACACACACACACACACACACTTTCGTTCAATCATATTGCACATTAGAATAAGCATTGACAAAAAAAGTTAACACATTTTGGTTTAAGAGACATTGTGAGCATCAAGAGCTTTTGGATTCTGAATCTTGTCTGACGGCCATCAGAAGAAAGAAAAAAAATGACAGAGGAATAAAGGACAGAGAACAAATCAGGTGAAGAATAAGGAAAGAGAAAACAGAGGTAAGAAGAGTTAAGGTAAAATAATTAGCGGGACTAACATGGCATTACTGGTAGCTGTGGTGGAAACGTCAGCCGAAGAGATAACTCCGCACTTCGCACATTTGAGCGTCATATTGTACAGTGGCACTGTCATCTGACTGCAAAGTCAAATTAACACGCTGTAACATACACAAACAGATACAAATGCACCTACACAGAGACTCCCACGTGTGTGGATGACCACACACACATACACACATACACACACACACACACACACATACACATAGTGAGTCAGTGTTCTCACACAGTCTCTCTCTCAGGGCTACAGTCCTCCATCAGGTGTGCGGGGTTTTACCTGGGACTGAGTTAGGGGAGGGGAGCCAAATCAGATATGAAGTTTGATTCTGTCTGGATGATGGTTAAAAAAAATACAGAAGCTGCTAGAGACTGGCTCTGATGCTGATAATGTGCCTCCTGGGTCATCTCCACTTCTGCTGACTGTTTTTCTTTTTCTTTCATGTCAACAGTTTAAATGAATGTTTCCATGCTTACATGAACACTAACCCATGAATCCTCAAAACAAACATGGCTTCTGTCACTCACACTCCAGAGACAAACTTTTACCCCATTTCAGCTAATGTTGGATAAACAACAAACTCATCAACTAGAAAACAATCCCAAGCCAAGGCTCTGGAAGTACAAATTAAGTTTAGGTGAATCTGACCCTTTATGTCACATTACAACCACAAACCTGTAATTATTTTACTGGAGTTTTATGTGATGGATCAACGCAAAGCAGGAAGTAAATGTTAAGTGGAAGGAAAATGATAATACGTAAGGTTTTTTGTGTTTATATGAATACAATTTTAAAAGTATGTAATGTATTTGTGTTTATATTCACCCCTGTTCCTCTGAGAGCTCAAACTAAAACCAAATGCAAACAGCGATCTTCAGAAGTCAGAGTTTCATCTCAGCACAAAACATCAGTGATCAAACAACATCAAGAAGACCAAGAAACACATCAGACAGGTCAGGAGAAAGTTATTGAGCAGTTTAAAGCAGGGTTAGTTGTAAAACAACATCCCAAGCTTTGACCATCCCACTCAGCTTAATGGGCTTGACACACGGGAGGCAACATTGCTCCCTCTCTGTAAATTTCCTATGGAACTTGTGCGATGAGGCGACAATCACTTGCCCTCCTCCAGCCAAGCGACTGGCAAAACTTGCTCATGTGAAGTTTTGAGCTCATGCGAGCTTGCGACCTGACAGATGTTCAACTTTTGTCGCTGTCGCATTACACTACGACCAATCAGCGAGGGTTTTATTGACCAATGAGTGAAACGTATGCTACACAATGCATTTAGCTACCACTTAAACATTATTTTAGCTATGTCAAATTTGCCAATTTTTTATTTAACACTTCACAAAGTGATTACTAATATACACATAAAAAGCAGCCATATGGGAATTTGTTTGATGCTAGGATGAAGTTGTCCTGTAAGTTCTTCCTCATAAAGTCATATCTTAGTATGCATTTGTTTTTCAATATTATTAGCGTCGAAAAATTTGTTTAGTTTATATAGTGGTAATAACCAGCATTATTGTTTTCCCCTATGACCAATCAACTTTATAAGAAGAAGTAGAAGAACCAATCAAATTTCTTTAAGACAAGCAACCCGATAGCACAACGCTGCTGCTGATGCCATCGCGTCCTGTGTGTTGGGTTTCATTTTGGTTGCGATGACAGCCATTAATCACTCTCGTTTGTCACTCCCTGTGTGTCGAGCCCATTAGAGTACAGTACAGTATAACCCTACTGCAAACCTATGAAGACATGATCGCCCACAGGAACTGGCAGGACAAGAAGCCTCAATGCTGACTCAGTGGGGCTATAGAGATCCACAGATCTACAAGACAACCTTGCACCAATCTGCCGCTTATGGAAGAGTAGCAAGAGGATAATCCATGGTCGAAAGAATGACAGAAAAATTCTCAGTTCTTGCTTTGTCACTCAGCAAACATGTCAAATAAGTTGCTTGGCTTGGCTCAGATCAGACAGAAACTAAACTTTGTGGCCTAAATCAGCAGAAAGACACTGTCTCCACTCTGAAACATGGTGGTGGCAGCATCATGCTGTGGGAATGTTTTTCTGCTCAGAGCTGATGTTAAAATGAATGGAGTAAAGAACAGGACCATCCTTCCACCAGGATGACTCAAAACATCAACTCAGTTTGACAGAGACTTCATGGAATCAAACTGAGCAGCAGCTGTTTCATTTCAGTCTCCAGTTGTGCAGCACAGTTCTTCTACAGAATATTCAGTGGGGGGCTGGATATAAACGCTAAACTTTTCAAAATTTTATTTGTAAAATACTTGGAATGCTTGGATAATTTCTCCACTTCATAATGGTTTGTTAATTTGTGTTGATTTATTGCATAAAATCCACTAAATACTTTGAAGTTTGTTGTTGTAATGTGACAAAATGAAAAAAAAATGTTCAAGGCTTAAGAATCAACTTTCAACACTGAAAAGAAATGGGAAAAATGGGCATTAAAGCTGTCAGTTTTATCTTAAACCTCAGATAGATTATAAATCACTGATCATTCAGTAAAGTAAAATTATGTTGTTGAAACTAGCTTTAAAGAAACAAACATTTATCCAGATGTTTGATTTGTTTGATTAATAAGAGTTCTAAGACAACTTCATTGGATCATTCTGCCCTGCTTCAAAAATAAATCCACATCTTCACAATTTCTGTTGTTGTAAAAAATAAAGCCTGGTAAATAAAAATTCTCGTAAAACTACAAAAAAAGGGCTTAATTGGAATCAACACAGATTCCTGTCTGAACATGGTATTTAAATAAAAATACATGCAAAGACTGTGGCTGGTGACAAAGTGTTGAAGAAGTAAAATATAAGCTTATATCATTATTTTTTTATTCCAAACACTTGAGTTTTTATTGGACTGAACTCTTTGTTTTTATCCACCTCAGTCCGAAAAAAAAAATAAAACCAATAAATGAGCTGCTCTGACCAGCAGAACAGTGTGATGTCACAAAGTCATTACTCTGACTTCCTGTTTCAGCTCATCGTGTCGACAGTTCTGTAGCTCTGAAACAAACTAAAAATTCTCAAACACAAAAATGGTTCAACTTTTGCCAATTTCCCAGATTTGTACCTAAAATGTGATGAGGCAGCAGCAGAACTAACAGCCAACACTGACTCAAACTGTCTTGTGACCTACTCAACAGATTTTAATGAAAATACAGTGAATATTTGATCTATACTACAAACAGATTATTATTAAAACATATAACATACTTTTAATTCAGTGTTACAGACACTGTCACAACCCCTGATGTGGTTGTTGCTGATGGTCATCCCATATTAACACTTATTTAAAATTTTTACAACTTTTTACATGAGATCATTGGGTTAAACCTAAGCTTTGCTCTATGACATCAGCTCTGATTGTCTGTTAGCAAAATATCTGAATCACTTAATGAATTTTAATGAAACATTGAAAACGTAATCAGTGCATGTACTCTTCAGTTAGCTTCTGAAGTCAGTTCAGTTCAAGATGGCTGCCACAGCTGATTGACAGTAGCCAGCACAAAAATGACATCATCTCAGTCAGTTTTACAGACATGGAGCCAAAGTCTGATGTGGTAGTAGCTGAGAGTTATTCAGAAAACATACTTTGAGCCTGGGGTTTCACTATATCACATTAAAGCACAAATAAATAGATGCTCCAGCTTCTTACTCCAATGGTTAGGCTGCCAAACCTTTTCAAGGTTTGCTCAAAACAGCTTCAACTCCATCATTTTTCAACTCAAGATGATTTTAGTCTAAAACTAAAAGGCAGCGGGTGATCTGCATTCCTTCAAGGAATGTCACGTTTTTATTTCTTTAGTTTTTTGGCCATGTAAAAATATTTTTTATTGGTTTATTGTTCAGTTAATTAGCCCTAGATTAGAAAATGATCAAATAAAACACTAGAGCGGTTGTAACTCAGTCTTTTTCAATGTATGTGTGAGGTTGAGGTGGAGGGAGAACCTGAACCAACCCTGTTGCATAAGTCCTGATGAAATTAAGAGGAATCCATTGCTGGATTTGTCTTTTCTGCAGTAAAAATGGCATCACCGCCTCAGTCAACCTGTTTGTCATCAGATTCATCTGAATTTCAGTTCCATTTCCAGAACCTCGGCTTGTGTTTTTTTTTTTTTCTGGAGAAACTTGCGGATGAGTTTGTTCTTTATCCAACATTATCTGCACTGAGCTAAAATATGAATGTAAAGACTTGTTTGTGTCTGTTAATAAAACTAGAAATGCAGAACTGACAGAAGATTAGGGCTTTTGATATTTTGAAGCTTTTGATATTTACTCAGAGATATATTCTTTGTATATTTCCTTGTGAATAAGATTAAATTTTTAAGCAATTATTTTATGTTATAGTTAGCGTATTAAGATACTACATTGTTTGGTGTTACCCTTAAAACACAAAAAGCTCCAGTATTGAAAACTCTGCTTCTAAAGCTCCCACTGACAACAGAACTGGAGATATTGGCAAGTAATAATAAACTAATATGTTACTGCGTGGCCTTTTGCTAAACAATTAAAGCTGACGAGTTGAGGGAATCGATTTTTGTAGCCTCTGGACGACCAGATTAAAAATCACATAATAGTAGAAATTCAATTTCAAGTGAAAGGGCAAGACAGCTGTTAAATGTACGCTACAGGCGGTGATATTAAAAAGCTATCAACACTTTCTAAAATACTCCATTTTCCTGGACTTAAGAATCGAGAGGTAAAAGGTGGACGGTTGGTGTGTGTGTGTGTTTGTGTGTGGGGAGGGGGTGCTTTTAAGCTTTTCACAGAAAAATGTCCTTTTTGCTACAACATGATATTGATATGTTCAAAACATAGATAAGCAGATCCAAAGCATTCATCTAAAATAATCAATATTTGATTAACTCGCAATTATAATCTGTAAAAAAGCCAAGAATAAGATGTTTGCAAAAAAAAAAACATTTTAAAACAAACTTATTACTCCAATCTGTGAATTATTCTTTACTTTATCCCTAAAGTTCCAGCTGATCTTTTGAAATATCCATAAGCAGCTCAGATCCATTAAATATGTCTGATGCTTTCCAGA